CGCTGCCATTCTGGGAGTGCAGCCTCACCTCGTAGGTAGTAATTACAAAAATTAATAATAATAATCTTGGCGTCCATGAATGAAGAGCTGCAGGCAGGGATCCGGGACATCCCGCTGCAGGTAATTCCCCTAAAGCCGGCTAGAGAGTGCAGGAGCCCTCGGGAATGATGGCAGGGTCACAAATGGAGGGATATGATCCTTTTTTCTTTTCTGTTCTCTTTTTTTTTTTATCATTTTAGTTACTGAAACAAAAGGCAAATAGCTCCAACGAGGCCCTCTCTGCGTGTCAAACAAACAACAAAAAGAAGCCTTCACTGAAAGCGGGAAACAGCCAAGAAGTCCCCACGGTTAACGGGAATGTGGTAAAGGCCAAATCCATAAATAAAGTGGACAATGGTTCTGCTAAAGACAGTCCTCCTTTGGCTAAGCTAAAATCCAAGAGGGTCGCGACAGATAAGAATTTAAATGGCACCAAAAGCGATGGAAAAGGCTGTAAAGAAAAAAAGAAAAATGGCAATATTTTAAAGGAGAAAGGTGATATAAAACATAAGAGGAGGAAAGCTGAAGAACACGTGGAGCAGCAACCCAAAGAGTGAGTACTTCAGGCGTCATACACGTGTGTGTATTTATTTGGGAGGTGTACATAAGGAGCATAGAGAAGTATATTCCAAACAGCTGCACTCTTCCCAACTAAATTTTGGGAGAAATAAGACACATGCTGCCCCCACTCCTCAGGCAGAGCAACATACCTGCATAGGTGACAGAACTAGGCTAATTTTCACACAGCTAATTTATTGATTTAAAGAATAAATATTCTTTTCCTACACTATAAAGATGCAAGACCACTTTAAGACTGTTAAATATAATTATATTTGTACTTACCAGGGCCGAAATCTGGTTTGATGACGTCGATCCAAAAGATATTGAAGCAGCAATAGGACCTGAAGCAGCAAAAATTGCTAGAAGAAATCTGGGACTTGAAACAGGCCAACACAAACAGTCTGTGGAACAGGTGCTGGTTAAAGAAAAGGCTTTTGAAGGGTGAGTGGCATTCCAGCAGGAAGGATGGCAGCAGAGGCATGGAGATTATCTCCTAATAACTGTGATTTGCAGGTGCACAGTGTAAGCTGACATCTCCAAGTCTGCGACAGACAAACTGCTGTTTTCCTTGTTCATATCAATGCATGAACCTTGTGAACCCTGCTGTGCAGTCCCTGTAACAGAGGTGTCACTGAGCTGTCCTGTGTCTTTTAGGCTGACCCGAGCTGTAGCCATGGACTGTGAGATGGTGGGAGTGGGACCCAAAGGTGAAGACAGTATCGTGGCTCGTGTGTCCATTGTGAACCAATTTGGAAAGTGCATTTATGACAAGTATGTCAAGCCTACAGAGGAGGTGACCGATTACAGAACAGCTGTTAGTGGCATACGCCCTGAGAATGTAAAAACAGGTAGGAGGTTGTTTTTTTCCAAAAAAAAAACGTTCCGTAAGAGAACAGAACAGAAGAGAATTCAACAGGCTATCACAGAATTGTCATTCACTGAGCTTCGATACATTTTAGACCTATTTCAGCCAAAAAAAAATGTTCTCTAAGGAGGGAGAATTTAACAGGCTATCATAGAATCATCATTCGCTGAGCTTCGATACATTTTAGACCTATTTCAGGAAATGGAAAACAAAATGTAGTCTGAATGCTACGAAAAATTGTGGGAAGAAATACTTTGTACAGAATGGTCACTAATGCCCTAGAAGAAGTTAACTTGTGGATTATGGTATAGGAATAGTAGGAAGTTTATTTCCTTTTAATGCTACGCTCTCTATGGAATTCTCTGTGCTTTTGCAACAAGCAGAGAATTTAGTGTACTGTACAAATTTGTGTAACTACAATCCCAAGAATACAATTAATTCAAAAAGTTACAATTACCTTCACAAAAAAGATGCAGTGTTTTAACTGTAGTTTGCTTAGTTGCCTTGTGCATCTAGCAAAGTTTTCATTGTTTGGTATTTTTAGGTGAAGATTTTAAAACAGTTCAGAAGGAGGTTGCTGACATCTTGAATGGAAGGATTTTAGTTGGACACGCTTTACGCAATGATCTAAAGGTACATGGCTGCAGATTTGTTATTTTGAAGACAAGGCTCCAAAAATATAAGATTGATTAAATTTCTAATACATCTTTGTGGATCAGATGAACACACTTAAACTCCTAGAAACCTCAGCTTTATCACTGTTATCTCAGTTTCTGGTTGTTTCATGCTGTACCAAGTATAGCCCTAGTCACTTGCCCGCTAAAGTTCTTCAGTGTCCAAACTCTGTTGCTAATAGCACTGATCTGCTTCCTAAAGAGCCAGGAAAGAAACAGAATGATGAAAAAACTGTTTGCATGCTCTGCTTAGCACCCAAAGCTCAGTAGCCTGGTCATCATTAGCAGAGACAGGTATCTTATGTCATGCTGTACCAGCACTGCAGATCATGCCTCTAGATTCAGTTCTGTTTCTCATGCTAAGTAGAACTATGGTTCTTGAATCCATCCAGTGCCTGGATGATCTTGGTCTTGTCCATTCATGGTTTTGAACTCTCTCTTACAACGAGAGATAGTTCAAACAATGGAAGGAAATGGAAGGAAAGAGCAGGAAACTATACATTCAGCTGTATAAATCTTCATGCAACAGTATGCTTTGGACTGGAAATATAATTTCTTCTAGGTCCTATTTCTTGATCATCCTCAGAAGAAGATACGTGACACGCAAAGATACAAGCCTTTCAGACAGAGAGTCAAGGTAAGGAACTGATGGGAAGGTGCACCTCAATTAACTGACTCTCGAGCTGCTAGCTCACTCTTACACTTTCCTCTAACTGACCCCGTTCCTTCTTTCCTACCTGAAACAGGGATGCCTGCTTTTTGTCATTTGAAAATCCTAGTCTGGTTGAATGCTTAGTTAGTGTTTTAAATATATCAATAAGTTACTTAGTTCAGTACAAACATTACCAGTAATACCTGTGCACAAAATTCAGTGGCTCTCCCATTCTTTAGCACTTGCATGGTCTTCATAATGCTTTTCTAGATAGCAAAATAAGATGGTAGAGTTCTACTTAGAGTAAGGCTTACGCGATCTTCCTAATGGTAGCATTTCCATAAGGATATAAAAAAAAAATAGATGGCTTCAAGTTTCTGCTTAGATTGCAGGAGTAAAGGTTCAGATTATAGGGAGGTATTTTAAGTTTCATAACTATATACTCAGGTTTTCTTTTTCACAAGAAAGCACCCCAAACATCAATCTCAGGGTTATACATGTAAAATCCTCTCAGCAGTGCATGCATAAATTTCATAATTGATTAATTCTTGCCAGTTCACCAGCAGAAGTTGAGATGTGCTATACTTTGAGGAATACACTTAAACTAGTATTTTTATATGTATACACACATATATTTTTCAAGTACTGCAAGGCAGCATGATTCTCTTTCTATTTCTAGAACCCACGGCCATCATTGAAACTGCTCTGTGAGAGACTGCTAAATGTTCAAGTGCAGACATCAGAGCACTGTTCGGTATGTATCTCATCAGAACATACATTTTTGGGTAGATCAACAAGGTACTACACATTAGCTCTAGGATCTAGGTTCAGTCCAGAATGCTGTGGCTTCGTTCTAGCCTCTCAGTGAAAGTTAGCAAGCTCTGCTTGGACACCAGCATGCAGCAAGATTGCCATCTAAGCTCGCTTACTGTTATGTCTCATACCACTTGGATTATTTCCTTATATTAATAAACTTCTTTTGCATGAGTCAACTTAATTTTGTTTAAATATTAATTCTTGTTATTTTAAAGATCCTCAGGGGAAAAAAGTAATTTTCAGGTATCAACTGCTTACCTTAAAAGCAACATTCTGCTCTATTGCACTATGGCTGGTTGAATGAAATAATGTGAGAGCCTACTACTGAAACTGAGCAGTTAGTTCCTTTCTTTCAGTGGACAGGAGGATATAATAGAGGAGTGAACTGAAAACAGAGCAAGTTGTGAGGGTATCTCCAAGATACTGTATCAAGAGTATTTTTTCATTATGGCTTTCCAAGCCACGATGAGTAAGAAGTGCATAGCTTTGATGGTGGGTCATGCATTCCGAATACATATTCATCCCCTTCCACTAGTCACAGAACCTCAATCTAGAAAGAAATTATGAAACATTGCTTGAAAAGATGTATTAAAACAATGGAAGATTTAGCTGCTTATTAACAATAATGTTCTTAAACCACGTCAGCTATGTTTCAGTAAGCCTCCTGTTCTGTTCTCTTTTAGATTCAGGATGCACAAGCAGCTATGAGACTCTACACCTTAGAGAAAAAGAAATGGGAAGCTGCTGTTAAGAACAAATCTAACAAGAAAAATTGTAAAACTTGAATGGTGTTCATCTGCAGTGTTTGCTGGTTTCATGTCACATCCCAGGGCAAATTTAGAAGTAACTCAGAACTAACAGTAGCTACTTCATAAAATCAAGAGAATACTTCCTAACCTGGTACATGAGTGCTGCCATACCAGAATATTTCTAGTATCCCCCTTTCTGGACCATACCTATGCCTAATGCATAAACAATACTTGTAACAAGTATTTGTGAAGTACTTCATCAGTTCAATTTCTGCAAAGGAAATATACACTGAATAAGTTAAAGTGTAGATGAAGGAAGAAACTGTCATTGCTTTGCTGAAACTCCCAAGACTAAAAGCTTTATTTGAAATATTTTAAAGTCTACAAAGTAAGGTGAATGCTTAATTATTGCTGTTAGTCTCACAGTTGTGGTACCTAAAGCAACAGAATATATAACCATTTATAGATTCTTAGTGGCCCAATATTAATCTTTCTGGTGAGAAAAGTGTTCTAAAATATTTTTGGAGGATCCAAGCTTTTATAGCCAAACCAGATGTGTACAAGTCTTGTTGTTATACAAAAAGTTTTTCTTCTACTTCCTGCATTTTCAGAAGTGTTGCATCCACAAGGGTCATTATTTCCTGTTGAGAAATGCGAGAATTGTCAAATACAAGATTACCTTGTTGCTCACCTTATTTTTATATTCCTTTATTAATAAAAACACTGTGTCTAACATAGGCCTTTGAAGTGAGTGGTGTTTTAAACATGTGGTTTGATTCTGCAAAATTCAAAGCAGCTTTAATTACCAGACTGAATACTAATGCTGTGATTTAAATAATCTGGATACTGGAAGGTAACAAGGAATAGGTTTCAGATTTAGCTGTTGTGTGTCTCACACTGTATTGTCAGAAGAAGAGTGTTCTGGTCTTGTCTGTGCTTTGCTGCTTCTGGTGTTTCAACAGTTACCTTTTTTTCAGTATGCCTGCTTGTTGGAATAGTTAAATCTTCAGGCAAACTGTCACAAGGGTTTGTTTTGTTGAGTTTTTTAAAGGATGTCACTTATAAAGTAAAAATAATTGGATGTAATATACTTAATGCTTTATTTCTGTAAACTTTAGCCTGTTTTAGTATGAAGAATGTAGTAAATCAATGTAATGTAATGGTATAAAAGACCAGAAGATAGTTTTAAAAAATTACAGCATAAAGCAAAAAAACCTTCCAACTGCTTGTTTTCAGTCATTAGAAATAGTCTTACAAACTCACTTTTCACCCCATGTATACATAATTCTGTAAATTTCTGCACTATGCAATTCCATCTATTTGAGAATGAGAAAATCCATAGCCAGAAATAATATACTAAGCACCCACATTTTATTATCAGTGATCTACATACCATCCTAGATGGAAAACAGCTTTTTATTTCAGACAGCAGTTCTTCCAATTTCTGAGACAGCATATCCAGCACAACGTCCTCTGTAATGTAAATGAACAGGTTAATTTATGGTTACAACTGCCAATGGTTTCAGCAAAAGGAGAGCAGGGAGGGGACATCTACACAAACAGAAGGCAAAATAAGATGAAGTTACAACATTATAACATCAAAGGGGCATTTACAACTATTCAAGAACAAGTGGGATGAACTCTCAGTTCCGATTCATCCTTTCTCAGATACATAGTAAGTCTTTCTTGAGAGCAACTAACATCTCTGTTAGGTTTTCTTTATTATCTGCTGGAGGTGGGGGAGAGGAAGAGGCTCAACAAATACCACCACCATCTCACCATACTGAACCATCTCGTTAATCAGCATACAGATACTTTCCACCACTTCTGGATCATCGAAATGAAGGTGGTAGGCATCTTTGATCAGGTTTATTCCACTGCCTTTTGAATCCATTATAAATCTCAAAGCTGGTATTTCTGAAAGGGAGACAAACGCTGCTGGGCTAATTGGTATCTGCAGGCTGCACTGTCTGCTCTCCAATCCCCTCTTCCAGCTAGCACACTTGTAATATTTTTCCAGATAGTTGTGTCCACTATTTTCAGTCCTCCTAAAAGGTATTCTGAAGCATTCTTGGGCAACAAGTAGAAGACCATAAATGCAGCTGACAGCGTCATGCATAGCAGAAGTGATAGTTTATTGTTTTCACATTGTTTGAGCTCTACCCTTTTACAGAGTTGAAACAAGTTCATTCTAAAATAAGTAACAAAACACTCAATAGATCAGATTGTGCTGATCTAATACTTCTCATACATGCAGGCCGAGTCCATGAGAAGAAAAAAATTTGCACCTCCAGTTTCACTATTTCCTCTTCCTGTCCCACAAGAAAAGCTTAACTCAGAAGAGCAAATGTCAATCCCAATCCCAGTATGAACTCTTGAACTATACAAAACATCTACTTCTGAGCTGATTTGCAATTAATAAAAAAAAAAAAAGACTTGCTGTATGTTACCAGATAGCCTTAGCAGGCTTGCTAATGCCAGGCAGGCATTCTTCACCAGCAGTGGTCTTCCTGGGGTCTTCCGGAGTGCATCCAGCAGAAGCGCTGTTGTGGGCTCATACTCCTTTTCAGTTAAGCAACCTTTAAAAAACAAAAAACACAACCACATACAAACCCCCAAAACTTCAATATTCTCCAAAGCCTTTAAAACACTCATCAGCATTTTAACTTCTGCCTCCTGTTTCTGAAATTATTTTAAATTATGTGATGAAAGTTACAAAGCAAGCATATGAAAAGCTGTATTGCAGTAAAAGAGGTCCAATCAAGTCTTACCATGAGTTGATCCACAGGTCCAAGAGAAATTTCTGATACATCTTCTATGTTAAGATTCCCTTTCATTCTCCAAGCCAAAATGAATAGAGAGGCCTGAATACTCAATCTATTCTGCTGGTGAGTACTAGAAATGAGATTTCTTAGGGGGGTTGCTCAGCTCTTCCCAGTGGAAGGATGGCATAATCATATGGCCATATTCTTGCACGAGAAAGAAACAAGACACAGCAGTACTGCAAGGATGTGTTTCTTAGTGCACATGATAACGAGAGATGCGTTTTATTTTTTTAATCAGAAATATTGTTCCCAATTTACAAAGCAAATGGCATAAAAACAGACCTCCCAGCCCACGCTGCGCAACACTAATAGTGTGTTCAAAGGAGCAACACAAATGGGATTCTTGGTCTTAAAAGAAGCCAGAGGGAGGGCTCTGCACAACAAGGCTCTTGTAGCTGCCCATCATTCCAGTAGCCACCAGCACTACCTAGTTATGTAATTGCTACAGCTCAAAAATAGCTTCATCAGGGAGTGTTAAGAGAGCAAGTGCACGGAAGACTGGTTAAGAAAGGATGCAAGTCCCTAACTCTGCTGCCATCTGCAGAGCCTGCTAAGGCCGAGCAGCCTGCACTTCAAGGATCACCACTGACAGACATGTTTGGCATACTAGCCTTTTCTGTGCACAGGGGACAAGGAGGCTGGGAACACACACCTTGGAGTGATAATGCCCATAGAGCTGAGCAAGCAGACTCTGTAACGGTTCCATTCTGGAGGTGCTCTTGAAGGACCGCAGAGGTGACAGGGACAGCACTCTTCAGCAATGCTTGGTCTACATTATTCTCTAAATCACCGTAACAAGAAGGAAATGCATCAAGCAGGGTTGTTTCATCAAGTAGTAATACCATCAGCACATTGCATGTCAAATTATGCCAGTAAAACCTTAATGGGTGATGGTATTGGAGTAATGCAGCATTTTAGTATGGACAACAGCAGAGAGAAGGCATTTAAAATGTGCAAAAACAAATCAAATTTTCAGGACTAATGAATAGCAATGTTTACTGCAGAAAGATGAACTTCTCCAGGAACTAGTTTTCTTTGCCATTTAAATTATACTTGGCGATCACAGCAAGAAACCTCAAAAAAACCCACCTTTTTGACAGAATACAGTCCACAGGATGGATATTTAGCTGGTCACATAAATCAAATGGGTGGTTTGTTGCACAGAGGGAATAAAACACACTAAGTGCAATTCTGCACATTCTGTGCTTTCAGCCTTCCTTGATGATTAGAACACCACACACCTATACAAGAATGTATCACAGAAACAAATCCTCCAAAAACTCCCAGCATGGTCTCCTAAGAAGGGGTCAGCTCAAGCAATCACTCATGGCTCTCCAGAACTGTGGGATGATTCTGGTTTAGTCCTAAGGCAATGGGAAGAGTACATTTGCTATCCTGCCAATCACATTTCTTTTGGAAAAGCAGATGTCCAACTCAAGATTTAGCCAAGTGCTGCCAAGAGAAGTGTGATGCAAAGAAATAAGATGCTATTAATTCAAAATGCTATTCTGATACCTTATCTAATATGCTGTTTGCACTGCACTCCCTCTACTAAGAGCAGAGCAAAGTGACATGACAAACCATAAATTGTGTGTACCCTTTCATTTCTGACAGTCTGTGCATAAGCCTTATCTTGGCCTAAATGGTAAAGATTTGACTTTGACACCTTATCACAAAAACGGTTGCTAAAAAGTCTGCATTAGGTTTTAGTTTTCTCTCATTTAACTCTGGCCAACTTCCAGTTATTCTAGTAGTGCTGTGGAGACATCTTTCTATAATGGGAGAAAAGACAAATCCAGTCCCAGCAACAG